CCGGGCCCAGCGCCGGCGCTTCGCTTCCTGCTGCTGCTGGAGCAGCGAGGCGCAGGAGCGCAGCTGGACACGTGACACGAACTCCTCCCCCGCCTCCTCCATCGCCGCCGGGCCAGGCCCCGCCACGTGACACCTGAGGTGAAACACGTCACAGGTACCTTGATCACGTGAACGTTGTTTGTTTTCCTCCCCCAGCCGATTTCCCCCGGCACGTGATCCGGACCACTCTTTTCGGCCCACATGTCACATGGGCACGACGCCTGCCAACCCACGTACACGCGATACGTCATCATGACCCCGCCCCAGCGCTCCTCGGCACGTGACGCAGGCTCTATGGGCGGGCCTCCCAGCGCCTAGGGGTGGGGCAGGCTCCGCTCCAGGGGTACGCGCGGGGCGGGGCCCGCGCTGTAGGAAGGGGGCTCCCCCGCCTGCCCCCACGGAGCCGGTCCGGCCGCGAGGCGTGGGGCCAGGGACTCCGCCCTGGCGCCCCTGTGTCTAGCTCTTCTTTGAGCCCTCCTGAGGCAGGGAGTTCCACAAGTTCCTGTGCACCCCGCCCTTGGCTGCCCGCTTGCCCAAAGACCCATTCATTCCCCCAGGTCACAGCATGGAGAAAAGTAAAATGATCAGATGCTTAATAATAGAATCCTAGGGCTGGAAGAGACCTCAGGAGTCATCAAGTCCAGCCCCCTGCCCAAGGCAGGACCAATCCAACTAAACCAACCCGGCCAGGGCTTTGTCAAACCTAGGGTATGTCTAGACTACATGCCTCTGTCGACAGAGGCATGGAGATTGGCTACCCAATTTAAATAATCGCCGCTTCATTTTCCTGTGTCTGGTAGCCAATCTACATGCCTCTGGTGACAGAGGCATGTAGTCTAGATGTACCCCTAGACTTAAACACCTCTAGGGATGGAGATTCCACCCCCTCCCCAGGGAACCCATCCCAGTGCTTCACCACCCTCCTAGGGAAATAGTTTTTCCTAATATCCAACCTAGACCTTCCCCCGCCTGAAACTTGAGACCATCGCTCCTTGTTCTGCCCTCTGTCACCACTGAAAACAGCCTTTCTCCATCCTCTTTGGAACCTCCCTTCAGGAAGTTGAAGGCTGCTATCAAATCCCCCCTCACTTTTCTCTTCTGCAGACTAAACAAACCCAAATCCCTCAGTCTCTCCTCACAGGTCATGCGCTCCAGCCCCTAATCATTTTGGTCGCCTCCGCTGGACCCTCTCCAATGCGTCCACATCCTTTCTATAGTGGGGGGCCCAGAAATGAACACAATATTCCAGATGTGGCCTCACCAGAGCTTAATAAAAGGTAATAATGTCTCTGGATCTGCTAGTAATGCTTTTCCTAATGTACCCTAATATGCCATTCGACTTCTTGGCTACAAGGGCACACTCTTGACTCATGTCCAGCTTCTCATCCACTGTAATTCCCAGGTCCTTTTCTGTTGAACTGCTACTTAGCCAGTCAGTCCCCAGCCTGTAACAATGCTTGGGATCCTTCCCTCCCAAGTGCAAGACTCTACACTTGTCCTTGTTGAACCTCATCAGATTTCTTTTGGCCCAATCTTCTAATCTGTCCAGGTCACTCTAGACCCTATCCCTGCCCTCCAGCGTATCTACCTCTTCCCCTAGCTTAGTGTCAGCCGCAAACTTGCTGAGGGTGCAATCCATCCCCTCATCCAGGTCATTAATAAAGATGTTGAACAAAACCAGCCCTAGCACCGATCCTTGGGGCACTCCGCTAGAAACCAACCGCCAACACTCCACTAGAAACCGACCGCCAACCTGACATCGAGCCATTGATCACTACCCGCTGGGCCCGGCCTTCTAGCCTCTTTCTATCCATCTTACCGTCCATTTATCCAATCCATATTTCCTTAACTTGCTGGCAAGAATATTGTGGGAGACCGTATCAAAAGCCTTGCTAAAGCCAAGGTCTATCACATCCACTGATTTTCCCACATCCACAGAGCCAGTTACCTCATCATAGAAGCTAATCAGTTTGGTCAGAAGCTAATAACTTCAGTGAATTAATATGACTCCTGCCACTGGGCCTTTCGTGGTGACTTCTCTAAATTTGTACTGTCTCTGGGGCATGGATGTTAGTTTCTTGCATAGGGCCAAGCACACTGATGGTACTTACCTAATAAAGCCATGTAGGAGGAGCACAAAGTGGGAAGAAGAAAACAACACTTCTAATATAGCATTTTTTTCCTCAGTAGTGCTTCCAGTGCTGTGTACAGGAGGTCAGTATCATTCCCTTGATTCCACAGATGTGCAAAGGGAGGCACAGAAAGGGGAAGTGACTTGTCCAGTGGTATCTGGTAGGCCAGTGGTTAAGCTGGGACTAGAGTCGCTCTTTTGAGTCCCAGGTCAGCCTGTGAGCCACTTGGCCACACTGAAGTTCTAGAGCTAATTTTTGCATGGTTACTGTTTTTAGTCTTTCATGTTTTGTTCTGTTTGTCAGTCTCTCCAAAGTGAAAGGTGAAAGATTTATATGATCTGAAGAGAAACCAGACCATAAATCTTTCGCCTTTCACTTGCTTTCTTAAAACTAAGCAGAAGTGCTTTGAAAAAATCTAACATGAAACAGCTCCCCGTGCACATAGGTGGCGCCTAACTGCTGTGTTAGGAGAGGCATTACTGTATTGCTTGTAGATAGCTTCTGTGGGTTGTTCCAGGTTTGTTGTCCTTTCTCAGTTTGTCCCACAGGTTTTAGTGTGGTCTGGGCAAAAGTGACAACTGTCAGATTTTGAACAAAATAAACTAAAGATTTTAACCTTGTTGAAGTCCTCCAACATTTGTGCTTGAGTTTACGGGTTCCTTATTTTTACAGGAAAAACTTAAAAAACAACGAATAGTCTAAGTAGCACCTTAAAGACTAACAAAACATGTAGATGGTAGTGCTACTAGACTATTTGTCGTTTTTTAACTTTTTCCTGTTACAGACTATCTTGGCTACCCCGCTGAAGCTTTATTTTTACAGATCATTTCCAGCTTGCTAATGTTCTTCTATGAACAAAAGAACAGTTAATGCCACTTCTGAGCGTGGGGAATGAACAGAACTGCATTCTTTCTGTGGCTTGTTTATTTTGGTTTTGTTATTTCTCTCAGTGGCTGCCTGCAGACCCAGAAGCCTCCATAACAAGTTTATCATTTGACTTACAGAGGAAAAAAAGATAAAACAGAAAGTGCAGCCACCAAATAATCCCTAGTTGTTTCTTTGCACAAACTCTCAGGGATAAGGATTTTGTCTCTGATTCCTCAGTTGTGCTAGAGCTGTATGTTTCAAGGGAGGACATGGTAGATTGCTCTCTATCTCCTTAAATGTCTATTCCTTAAGCGTATAAAGTAGCACTCACAAGAGGATGGGAAAAGTTATGGTAAGCTTACTCTTGCCCTCTATTCAGCAAACATTTGAAGGGTTTTTACCTTGTGTTTCTAATAAGATACAAGCCAAAATCCAGCATTGTATGTATGTGCACAGCAC